CTACTACTACTACTACGACGACTACTACGACTACTACGACTACTACGACTACTACGACTACTACGACTACTACGACTACTACAACACCTACTACCACCACAGCTACAACTACAATCATTGCTACACTACATTACACTACAATACCTTCATTAAACTGCAGTACATTACAGCTACAAATACAACTACAACTACACTACATTACACAACACTACGCTACACGAATTACGTTACACTACGCTACAACTGCAACTACCACTACATTGCACTACACGACACTACAACCACAACTACACTACTTTACACCAGTACACAACACTACGGTACACTACAATACACTACAATACACTACACTAATTACACCACGCCACAACTACAACTGCAACTGCAACTGCACTACACTAATTACACTACATTACAACTACAACTTGCAACTACAACTCCAACCACAGCTACAACTACAGCTACACCTACACCTACAACTACAACTGCACTACACCACACTACATCCAGCAGTTGTGGTAAGGTGACCACTGCAACCATTGCAACCACTCCAGAAAACACAACTCCAACCACCTTTCGGTCCATCAGTGGATTCGCTCTGCCATCCGTGAGTCACACCAACCAACCCTTCCTATAGGTTTCCTATTTTTGAGACTTCCGCCACCGCCTTGTGCGGTACTACTGGTATATTTTGTTTATTAATAGATACACGTACACATATACACGTATATATTCATGTCTACTATACGTATATACTATATACAGAATGCCTACAGATAGACACATGATTGTAATACATCACCAGTGTCGCGCAGTCTCTTTTCTCTGTACTGAAACGTTGCAGCCAAAACGGCTGACATCCTGGTATCCACACTGGCAGGGTCAAAAATCATTGTGCAAGTTGAATGTTGAACGACAACACAGAACGACTGATTTTGATGTAGGCTTGGATTGATTTAAGAGAAGGTTGCACAAGTGCGACGGTTGCCACCTTCTGTGGGGATTCGCCACTACTTTGACATTGATCTTTTGAGGCGCCAAGGCCTCTGGGCACAACTTGGGTTTTGTGAAGTCTTCACAGTAAACTCAGTAAACTGCAAAGCTGGACTCAGGCCTTCAGCTCCGATTCTAATCGTTCAGCAATGCCAGGGAACATGGTATTTCCTCCGAAACATCTCCAAACCGAGAAACATGGAGAAACTAGGTACATCTTGGTACTTGGATGTACCTACTTGGTTCCTCACTATCCTCACTTTGTGCCTCCACTCAGGACAATGTTGTTGAAGAGATCTCTGCGCAAATCAATGTCGCAGGCCTCGAAGAACTTGTGGTTGGCCAGTGGGCCAGGGTCGAAGAGTTCATGTCACAGTCACAGAAGTGCAATAGCAGGATTTGAGAGATCATGAGAGGATGATATCTGCATCTTCCTACTTGCAGTCATCTTGACGTGCCTGTGCGTGTTTCTCTCACTGTATAGATGAATCAAAGTTGTCGCAAAATGGCACTTCGCGTCAACGATGTATCTAAATCTTAAGCAGAGGAAGACCAGCGATCTCACATGGTCGGCCAATTCCAAGTCGACAAAGACTCTGTCAAATTCACAGCAGTGATGCTAGCGATGCGTGGCACCTGGATGCACTGGTAGACAGACTTATGCAGCCTTAGACTTTGAGGCATGGAAGTTGTGCAAGTCCGAACCTACCACTTGCAAGTTCCAAACAATGTATATATACTCATGTACGGGAAACAGTTTGCTCTCACCAAGAGTACACTTGTCCTGCGGGCTACAAAACTTCTGTGAATCTGAATCATGAGCGGCAAAAGGATACTGGGAAATTAATCTATCTGATTTGAGAAACGGAACACAGGTAGCTCTCTTCCAGCTATCATCGGATCAAACATCACCTACAAAACATCCATGCTGAATACAGCGGCACAGCATCTATCAAATGTATTCAAGTACATTCGACACAAACAAAAATGCACAGCTGCCTCTGGAACTCTGAATCTTTCGGTCATGAGGCTGACCTACATGCCGTCGGCAAAATGCTGCAATGCCAAAACCTCCAAAGACCAACGAAACCAAAAAAAATCTAAAGAGTTGTTCCATTGCTTGGACTGCAACTTTCTGTCCATCAGGGAGGTCGAAAATCTTTGCAAAGTCTGTGGGTCGCCCCTGGCAGTTTCAACAGTCGAACAGATAAATTCAACCTGAAACACTATATATTATATGTATGGATATATTTACATATATACACACATACGCACTACACACATACACGCATGCACGCATGCATGCATGCATGCACGCAGGCACGCACGCACGCACAGATAGATAGATAGATAGATAGATAGATAGATAGATAGATAGATAAACAAATAGATAAACAAATGGATAGATAAGATTAGATTAGATAAGATTAGATTAGATTAGATTAGGTTGTATTGGACTAGATTAGATTAGATTAAATTAGATAGATAGAAAGATAGATAGAAAGAGAGATAGATAGATAGATCGATAGATCGATAGATCGATAGATCGATAGATCGATAGATCGATAGATAGATCGATCGATAGATAGATCGATAGATAGATAGATAGATAGAGAGATAGATAGATAGACAGATAGATAGATAGATAGGTAAATACGTACCATTACATTACATTACATTACAGTACATGACATTACATTACATTACATACCATTACATTACATACCACTACATTGCATACCAATACACTACATGCCATTATACACTACATTACATTACATGCATTACATACATTACTTTACATTGCATTTCATTACGTTACAATACAATACAATACATTGCATCACAATACATTACATTACACTACACAACACTACATTACACTGCACTACAAAACAATACAATACATTTCATTACATCAATACATACATTACATACATTACATGCATTACATAGATACATACGTACATTACATACATCACATGCACTACATACATTACATACATTTTATACATGCATTACATACATTACATACATTACATACACTATATACATTACACACATACATACATACATACATACAGACATACATACATACATACGTACGTACATACATACATACATTACACTTCATTACATTACATTACACTACAATACATTGGAATACATTACGTTACACTACATTCACACATACATTACATACATTAAATACATTACAGAAATACATACATACATACATACATTTTATACATTACATAGATACGTACATATATACCATGCATGCAATACATACCATACCATACCACACAAACCATACCATACCATACAACACCATACCACACCAAACCATACATACATACATACATACATACATACCCATACATAGATTTCATGCATTAGATAAATTACATTACATTACATACATACATACATTACATACATTACATACATTACATACATTACATACATTACATGCCTTACATTCATCACATTCTTACATACATTACATACATTACATACATTACATACATTACCTACATTACATACATTACATACATTACATACATACATACAAACATACCTACATACCTACATACATACATACATGCATGCATACATAGATACATACATTCCAAATACATGCATACATACCAATACATAAAAACATACGTACATGCATGCATACATACATACATACCCATACATACATACATACATAAATACCATACATAGATTACATGCATTACAAACATTACATACATTACAAACATTACATACATTACATACATTACATACATTACATACCAATACATACCAATACATACCAATACATGTGAATACATACCAATACATACCAATACATACCAATACATAGCACTACATACCAATACATACCAATACATACCAATACATAACAATACATACCAATACATACGACTACATACCAGTACATACCACTACATACCACTACATACCACTACATTCTACTACATACTACTACATACCAATACATACCAATACATACCACAAAATACCACAAAATACCACTACATACCAATACATACCAATACATACCAATACATACCAATACACAACACTACAAACCAATACACACCAATACATACCAATACATACCAATACATACCACTACATACCAATACATACCACTACATACCAATACATACCACTACATACCAGTACATACCAATACATACCACTACATACCACTACATACCACTACATACCACTACATACCAATACATACCTGTACATACCAATACATACCAATACATACGAGTACTTGCATACCAATACATGCCAAAACATACATACATTACATACATACATTACATACATACGTACATACATACATACATCCATGCATGCATGCATGCATGCATGCCAATACATACCAATACATACCAATACATACCAATACATACCAGTACATACCAGTACATACCAATACAAACCAATACATACATACCAGTACATACCAATACAAACCAATACATACATACCATACCATACGGTACCAGACCATACCATACCATACCTTACTATACCGTACCATGCCTTACTTTACCTTACCGTGTATCATGTCGCATGCCATACCGTATACCATACCGTATACCATACCGTTTACCATTCCATATACCATACCGTATGCCATACCGTATGCCGTATGCCAAACTGTATGCCATACCGTATGCCATACCTTATACCATACCGTATGCCATGTCTTACCATACCTGACCATACCTGACCATACCTTGCCATACCTTTCCATACCTTACCATGCCTTACCATACCGACCTGCCATACCTACCATACCTGACATACATACCATACCTACCATACATACCATACATACCATACATCCCAGACATACCATACATTCCATACAAAACATACATACCATACATACCAAAAATACAATACATTCCATACACTCCATACATGCCATACACTCAATACATTCCATACATTCCATCCCCATACATTCCAGACATTCCACACATTCCATACACTACATACGTTACATACATTACATACAAAACATATGTTACATACAGTACATACCTTACATACATTACATACATGTCATACATTACATGCATTACATGCATGACATACAGAACATACAGTACATACAGTACATACATTACATACATTACATACATTACATACATTACATACATTACATACATTACATACATTACATACATACATACAAACAAACATACCTACATACCTACATACATACATACATACATTTTATACATTACATAGATACGTACATATATACCATGCATGCAACACATACCATACCATACCATACCACACAAACCATACCATACCATACAACACCATACCACACCAAACCATACATACATACATACATACATACCCATACATAGATTTCATGCATTAGATAAATTACATTACATTACATTACATACATACATACATTACATACATTACATACATTACATACATTACATACATTACATACATTACATACATTACATGCCTTACATTCATCACATTCTTACATACATTACATACATTACATACATTACATACATTACATACATTACATACATTACATACATTACATACATACATACAAACATACCTACATACCTACATACATACATACATACATGCATGCATACATAGATACATACATTCCAAATACATGCATACATACCAATACATAAAAACATACGTACATGCATGCATACATACATACATACCCATACATACATACATACATAAATACCATACATAGATTACATGCATTACAAACATTACATACATTACAAACATTACATACATTACATACATTACATACATTACATACCAATACATACCAATACATACCAATACATGTGAATACATACCAATACATACCAATACATACCAATACATAGCACTACATACCAATACATACCAATACATACCAATACATACCAATACATAACAATACATACCAATACATACGACTACATACCAGTACATACCACTACATACCACTACATACCACTACATTCTACTACATACTACTACATACCAATACATACCAATACATACCACAAAATACCACAAAATACCACTACATACCAATACATACCAATACATACCAATACATACCAATACACACCACTACAAACCAATACACACCAATACATACCAATACATACCAATACATACCACTACATACCAATACATACCACTACATACCAATACATACCACTACATACCAGTACATACCAATACATACCACTACATACCACTACATACCACTACATACCACTACATACCAATACATACCTGTACATACCAATACATACCAATACATACGAGTACTTGCATACCAATACATGCCAAAACATACATACATTACATACATACATTACATACATACGTACATACATACATACATACATCCATGCATGCATGCATGCATGCATGCCAATACATACCAATACATACCAATACATACCAGTACATACCAGTACATACCAATACAAACCAATACATACATACCAGTACATACCAATACAAACCAATACATACATACCATACCATACGGTACCAGACCATACCATACCATACCTTACTATACCGTACCATGCCTTACTTTACCTTACCGTGTATCATGTCGCATGCCATACCGTATACCATACCGTATACCATACCGTTTACCATTCCATATACCATACCGTATGCCATACCGTATGCCGTATGCCAAACTGTATGCCATACCGTATGCCATACCTTATACCATACCGTATGCCATGTCTTACCATACCTGACCATACCTGACCATACCTTGCCATACCTTTCCATACCTTACCATGCCTTACCATACCGACCTGCCATACCTACCATACCTGACATACATACCATACCTACCATACATACCATACATACCATACATCCCAGACATACCATACATTCCATACAAAACATACATACCATACATACCAAAAATACAATACATTCCATACACTCCATACATGCCATACACTCAATACATTCCATACATTCCATCCCCATACATTCCAGACATTCCACACATTCCATACACTACATACGTTACATACATTACATACAAAACATATGTTACATACAGTACATACCTTACATACATTACATACATGTCATACATTACAT